CTTGTGTCGCATTAATCGCTACAAGTTGCTTCGCTGCGACAGCCCCGTCCATGCTTTCGAAAAACGCCTATGCCAATTACTGACATATTAATGAACCCTAAAACCGAATCAATCAAACGCTGAAAACCAAACAAAGACCAAACATTGTAGTTGAAATCCCTTCGGCAAAATAAACTAATGCCCGATTGAAAAAACCTACTTCATCATAATTAAAAAGGAACAATACTAATTATTTGTTAACAATACACCTAATTAAAACAGACATTCCTCGTGGGGGTGATCATGTTCTAAGTCGGATAGACAATGATCACTTGTGTTCAGTGGGATTATAGACTCCCTCGAATTAGTTAGACTGCCACTCGGGCCTTCGGCCCTCGTGGCCGTCTAACTAATTCTCGGGAGTCTATATCCCACTGAACACACGTGATCATTGTCTATCCTATACTAAGCAACGACAATTTCCGAATTTTCGTTTCAGATACATTTCGTTAAAAAAAACTGTGTCGCTAAATATAAAAAATTTTCGTGTTCACAATAATTAAACTTTAGGATTTATTCTAGGTTTATTTATTTTATTTAGGGTTAAGAAGCTTCACTTTTCGAGAGTTTTCTTAACTTTTTAGTTTGAATTTTTGTTCTGAATAATTTTGCAAAAATTTTCGAAGTCGTGTCGGTTAAAATCAACAATTTTTTACATGAATTATATTTCGTTCCATACTTTAAATGCCAGGACGCTTTCAATTAATGTCTAGTCTACCCATTTGCTATATTTTCTCGTTTATTTTACGAATTTTTGACCAATTAAAAAGCATGTTTTTGTTTTAGAAATTGATATTCAAATTCCCCGCCATATTTTCATAATTTGGTGCATGCACAGACGTTTTTCCGCGGTGTTTTAAAAGCCTGAGGTCTTTCCGAATATGAAAAACCAATTGTTCATACGCCAAGTAATTTACGTATAATATAATAACGCGCTGAAGTTCAGTTACCTTATATTTATACACCCTGTATAAGCCAATTCAGAGTTTCAATGACTGCGCATCCAAATGACGCGTTTGCGTCGGGATGAATTGCAGTTGCCATAACATATAGTTGAGAGTGGAAGTATTAGAGTATGCATGTCAAAATATTCCATTGTTCTGTCATCATTTGAATATGTAAAAAGTTGCTCCAAGGATATTAGTTTCCGCACAAAATATATATGCTAGTACAAACTGATCTAGTTCTATTGTGGCTTTAACTGCAACACAAATAATGATTGAAAAGCTGAATAGGTTGAATATGCATTTTAATGCTTCCAGTCTCAGTAACATGTTCGGACTGGTTGTGATTCAACTACAACCTGTCCCGACGCAGAACGCGTCACTCGGATAAAGTGTGAATTTGAATTGGCTCATCAGGTCACATGCTTGCGCAATAAATCAATATCAGATCCAAACAAATAAATCAGTCCTCAGATGGGTCACCTACAAGCCTCGTTTTCGTGTTTCGTCGATATTACCATTGCATGCCTGAATCTCGATAGTTTTTGTTTACACGTATATCTAGCTTGTTGATGAGTTTAACATTAAATTGTCTCCTTGCATGCTAGCTGCCCATGCCTGGCCGCGGTGGGATTCGAACCTACGACCTTTGGAATACTAGCCCAATGCTCTGCCAACTGAGCTACGCGGTCAGGTCGGTTCGATTATGCGATACTTCGGAACTGAGTCTAGTTCCTTCTATATCAGTGTAATCTAATAATCACGATACTTGCTGTGTTGGTGTAATGTACTCAGGTGAATAAGATGCTAGTATTCCAAAGGTCGTACGTTCGAATCCCACCGTGGTCAGGCATATTTTTCCAGCCTGCCCAGTGTGGATATACACTCAGAGTAACATCACAAGCATCTTATTCACCTGAGTACATTACACCAACACAGCAAGTACCGGATACTTAAGTGGCTGTCTCACTAAGAACCATGCAGAGTGTTTCAGGTTGAAAATTAAATTTCCTTTATATTTTTACCATGAAATACATTTGTTCTAAAAGGTATTAAACTAATATTAGAAATTCTAAATTTTTCTTTTTTTTGAGTTATGACGAATTTTTGTCTGGACGTCAGCGACACTGAAATTTGAACCCGAAAACGGCGGTCAAATGTGTGTTAAATTGTGCATCATAACTCGGAAAGTTTCGCGTCAAATTAAAAACGTTTTTCAGCGTATTGAGACATATTCTTCTTCTTTTAGAATGTTGAAAGAATTTGAGTGTACATCTTACTTTAAGCCTACTAGTCTCCATCCAAGGAAGTCGGTATTTTCGTTCGCCGAACAACTAATGATTAGGTACAAAATTCAAACTAAAAATTCTCAAAAGTGCAACCTACCTGGTGACTAAAACACTTTTAGGGT